GAGAAAAGAAAAGCAACTGCCTGGCCAGGGTTTTAGGCACGCAACCTTACGGTTCTGAGTTCAGCGCCGTACAGACTGAGAAAAGCCGGTCTAATCTGTATCTTCCGGTCTAGTATCTGATGAATTTGCGATCGAAATATAGCATTAAATAATGTAGTGGTGCATCCATTCAATTGATCTAAAGAAAATCAAGTCAAATGTTGACGAGCACACGTGATGTTGAGGTGCATTATTTGCCGTATCAAGTTATGCTGCTCAACCGCACGAAAAACAACGACAAACACGAATTTTTCACCGTTTATTTACAAGGTTGTTGCTCAGCTGTTTAGTTTGGTCAGACGAATTGCAATTCTAGGTACTAGCGACAAACTGCATAACTGTCCCTTTCGCCCATTCGAATGCAGCCACAAATGCTCACCATGCTATCGGTGATGTTCACTGATTTTACCCGTTTCTTAGTTTGTTGCAGAGAACGGAAATCAAGTAAATTCGTCGCTTAAATGAAATTGTGGTAAAGAAAATGTTTTATTTTCGTGGGATTCGAGCTCGGCACTTAAGTATGTCTCAGCCGACCCCATCCCATTGTGCTACCCCCAATCCCGCAAAAATTGTTAGTGTTTATAGTCCGATCAAAAACTACGAGTTTTATCCAGTTAAGTCGATTATGGCCATGGCTATATCTGATCCTATTTTGAGCTGAAGGTTGCTGGAGTTGCGCTTAACGATTCAAATAGTTCAAAGTTATAATTCAGTTGTTTGCAAATGACTTGAAAATCTACAGTATTCTTTGAATTTGATCAGCTGTAAGCCGCTACCACAAAATTGGTTTTGGCAATGAAATAATTTCACTATTTAACCACAGCATTTGTTCCGCTTTATTTCGACCTCTTTGATCAACATTGCGTTATTTCTTCGTTATTTCGTTTGACATTTGTTTTGTCCAGCCTCTGTATAGCGGCAATTTGCACATTTGTTCATTTATTTTTTATTCTACATGAGAAAGTTCGTTCTGTCGAAACACCCTTTGTTTGTGATTCAGTTCATGCCGTAGAACTTTGCCGAATCTCTGGTCATTATTACTCATTAACTGGTTTTATTTTGTAGTTTCACTCAACATTATTTTTTATCTTTCCACTTCTCGATATTTGTTTATTGAGTTCGGTTTGAAATCATAATTTTGTCATTATTACTGGTTTATGTTTGATTTGAACTTGTTTGATTTAGATCATTGTTGATTTATAGTTTGTTTATGTTACGTAAGTTGAAGGGTTTGAAAGCGACTTTGAGAGCAGCTGTAATTCCGAAATTTCTGAATTTCAGAAACTTTTTTCTTTCAGAATCGTAATGTTGCAACGTGTTATTCGATTTGAAATGAACTACAGTTTACAAAAAAGATGCTGGAATCGGTTAGAGAAAGAATTGCAGCGACCGCAGAGAAAGCAGCATTACGTATCACGTGGCGTTGGCTGATTGGTCAATTATTTAATTACGAGTGATGGGTTAAAATTTGTTTCCAGCTGCAAGGCGACCAATCAACGTCAACACAGCAGTTCGACCGCTGAAAGGTTATTGCTGATTGGTTACTGCCGGTAAAAATCTTTCATTGCTTTCCTCATACGTTTTTGTTGATTAGAACTTGGTGTGTGCTTTGCTGTATGACGACCGATTTGAAAGTTTGAAGCTGAAGAATTTGCGAAGGTTAGAGGCTTTCGAAGAAAGCCTTTCGGATTTGTTTGCGTCGCGTGAGTTTTTTTTATTACTAAAAATGGTTGTGAGTGATGAGACTCATCTGCATTGCATTCTATTCAATTTTCTTTGCTCTTCTGTTCGCCGGATTGCATTATTAAATTTGTGTTGTCCCCCGGGAACGGCTTTGCGTCAGGTCTCAACTTTTTTTGTGCTGCGAAGTGCAGATTATTTTGTTAGTCTGATGAAGAGTTTTCCGTGGGTTGCCTTGAGAAGGAACTGACATGATAATCTAATCTTTGAGTCCGAAGTAGACTAAATCTTTGTTGTAATGTTTATGTTTATTTGGCTGGAGCGGCATTCGATGCATGTCGACACTGCGAATATGTCTCTGTTGTCTATAGATTCTTATGATTATTCAATGATGAAGGAACATCTTCTAGAAGCGCTTGCTTAATCTACTCATTTAGCTATTCCTGCATTCCGAACGGTAGCCAATGTCAAGCACAACCGAGTCAGACTGTTCACGGTGCGACGACGATGAAACCACTTGTCACCGAACATCTCACGAATTCGTACACGCGTCGAAGAGATCCGGGTCAAATAGGTCACACTCTGACGACAGTGAAACCTCTTCTGGTCGAACGTCTCCAAGCATCGAGCCGACAAAGCGAAGTAAATTACAGCTCTCTGACTTGTCCCCTTTCACAACAGACAAAATCTTGGTAAGTCAGTCGTGAAAGAAAGGCATTTTCGTTGTCGATATATCTTTTTCTTTCCTCCATAGACTGATGCACAGCAGCAAGCCATTAACGAGACGGTCCACACCGAGGGATTTCAGTATTCGACTAGGACCGACTCTCCGTATGCCGTCGAAATACATCATAATTCGGTAAGTTTTGCAAAGCATTGAATTCGTTTCACGTTCACCTCACTTACTAACTTCTTACTAGCTAAATAACAGACACGTGTGAAGAACAGTGCATGTGCATTTTTCTTGCACAGTGACCGTTGCTTTGATGGATTTTTTGATGATTCGCCTTATCTTTCATTGCACTTTTAAATTCTCAATGGATTTCTAGTCCATCTTCATCAGGTAAAAATCCTGGAGTATAAATATGAGACTTGATTTACTCGAATTTCTGTTTTGATTGAGGTATGCTTAATTTTTCATGATCTTTGACCTTTGCCATAATAAAAATGTTGCTCATTTCCGCTCATTATTGTCCTGAGGCAGCATGCATTTGATTTTCACATCTTTTACTCTATTTTGGTTTGTTGGAAGCGCATGCTTCGTGAAATTTTGCCCTCAAAGTGTAGCTAGCTTAAATCGCGATAAGCTGATTTTTCTCCAGTACTCCAGAAATGAATGGTGTCCATTATAATACTTAACTTTGGGTATAATAATACTTAAGTCATGGTCTTCACTCACACTTGTCTGGTTATCTACGTAAGATCAGCTTATCGATATTGATTGTTTCATTTGACTTGTTTAGATAGAAGACATGTCATCCGGCATGAACAGCGAAATACAATGTGATATTCTCCACTTGCGAACAACGTTTGCATTTCTCTACAACAAAGCTGTAAGAATGCAACGGAATATGGAAGATTTGAAAAACTTTTATTCACCGCATCTCATGCCCAACGTGAATGGTGGAGCAGATATGCAAGGAATGGAGGAAAATTTAAATCAAACTGAACACCTGTACAACCTGCCGATTTTGATTGAAGCGACGTTTCAGGAGTTGTGGGGCCAGTTCCAGCTGCTTAGCCTCAATGTTGCCAAAACTCTGGATTGGGAAGATTCGGGCAATGAGAAAAAAGATTTGCGTGTCCAACTTGTAAAATGTAAAGCCGAGAATTTGCAGCTCCGAAAAGAAATCTCTTACTGGAATCAAAGATTGAATGTCATTGTTTCGAATTTTTCACAGACTCTGGAGGAACTAAAGGAAATAGGAAATTCGAAAGATATTACGATTCCGCTAGTGTCACTTGACTCAGAAAATTCTGATGACACACCGACTTCGTCAGAATCAGGAAGAAACTTGGCCGACGCCGTAAATGAGACAGCCGGCGGTGTTGCAGCTGAAGCCGAGCAGGTCCAAGATTGTAATAATCATGGAGCTTCTTCAGTACAGGTGATCGGTTGATAATTTGACACGTTGGTTAATATATCTTTTCAGCAGCTCAGCTCATTGATGAGAACGACACATAGTCTGTTTGTCTACGCAAAAAGACTAGAACAACTCCTGACCATTCACGCAGTTAACAATTCGTTTATAATTCCAAACGAATCAGAGGAAGCTTCCTTGACCGTTCAGGAAGTAAGTCATCATTAGAGCATGGTTGCATGGCTCGTGGTCAGTGAAGGATTGCAAACGGTATCTTAACTTATTCTTACAGCATGGTATTTTGATGAGGTCATGCGAAAGCCTGTGAAACATACGGCGCCATACTGTCAGATGCGTGCGCCTTCCCGCTGCAGTTCGCCTTGAGCGGCGACCTGGTAGCTGATTAAAAATTGGCACAAGGTAAAAGCGTAAATTTAAAATTTAGTTTAAAGCCTTTTTAATTAGCGCCATACGTAGCGCAAATTGCCCCAGAAACGAGCTGCTAAAGTTCAGGCCCTATAAGTTGTAGAAAACTGGGTTTTTAGTCAACCCAACTTTCCACCTTCCTTAACGTTTGACGTTTTGCCATTTTAGTTGCTATGATTTAGTTTTATAATTCCATGCGATCGAAATGGTTAGCAACCACGGAGGCCTCATGTTTTTATATGCATAATTGTACCTTGAAGCATAAGTGCCTTTCGTTAAAAGAATATATTTTGAAAAATACGTAGCTGCGAATTATGTGCAAAGGATTAAATTTATGAAACGATTAATTTCTTTTGGTCTCTACTCAGTCTACTCCCCAGTTAATTCTGTTTGTTTTTTGTCTCTCATCGATGGATGGTAGAATCTTATTTTCAACATAGCATTCTAGAAACAGTCTGGTACTCTAAAATGATTTTTTCTTTTCAAAACAGTTGTACCTTTAGTCACATTATCATTTGTCCTCTTGTCTTTCGTGTCTGTTCCAAGTCTTATTGATGTAATTTATTTGCCTTACGAACACCTTCATAGTTCATTTTGTTCAGTATATTCGTACTGTCCCCTGCGCTTTCCCATTCCACAGGTGTTCACTTTCAGCAGTAAGCCTCATAATCATCCCCATCTTTCTCAAGTTCATCATTTTCTTCATCTCATGGAAAGACCATGCTTCGCTTGAAATCATTTCTCTCTCAGTCACAGTTCTATTTCTTTCTCTATAATTGTCACAGCCGTTCGCGTTCACTAATGCCAATCTGTTCTGTACATGAGTGATGCTTTTTTCTTGGTCCGTATTATTTTACAACAATTTATTTGCTCAATTATGTCTTAGACTTCGTTGATTCTGTTTCAGTTTTTTTCTGGAGTGGCACCAGTTTCTAACCATCTTCTGTACTCGATTTAATTCCTACTCTCTGCAATAAACTGTTTCAGTCCTTTTTACATTTAGCCTCACTCGTTTAGGTTAACACCGACTTGTCATATTTAGTTTATTTATGTATTTATGTTATATTCAGTTTATTTAGCTTATTTTAGTCAGTGAAGCTTCAAACTGATCGCTATATCTCTTACTCTGTTCAACGCCAATGCTTTTATATCCAGATGTCTGCTTAAACGTAGCTGGTTTTATTTCGTGTATGTGAATCTTCGTCAGAGTTATCTCATACTACTTTCCTATCTGATATTACTTTTAATGTGATTGCTTTTGTTGAACATTTTCTGTTTTTTTCATAAATCTCTTTCCCTTTACGTTCTGTTGCTGTCCCAGTTTCCATGTTATCCTGTTCGTCGCATGATTTCCTGTCAGGAATACCGGCAGCCTTACTTTTTTAAGGGTATTTGCGCAAGTTTCAGACACGCTGCCACAAATTCTAGGTCAGTTATGAATAGTGCATAATTTCGGCTATGAATTACAGTTGTATGACTGTACCATTGGAACCAAGTCAGCCAACAATTAATCCATGTGATTTTGACAGTGCGCTTTCATGCTAATTATTTTTCTTGGTTTGAGCCGATTGCAGCTCCGTCGTTTAATATAGGTAGTGTAGTAGCTAAATATCCATTACCAAAATATTAGCTAACGTTGCCCTTTGCCTTAACGTAACTGGTGATTCGTAACCGGTTCTCCATGAACGGTTACTTGAATACCGCAAACATTCGTAGAAGGCTTTTTTCTCGTAGTCACAAGGGTCGTTTCGTCAACATGGCTGAACATCTGCGTTAAGCAGAGATAAAATCATTGTCTTTTTCAGATAGACGTTGTATTCGTGAATATTCACATTGATATTCCCATTTAATAGTTCTTGGTTGTCTGTCAATATCTTACCTACCCTGTTCTGTATATGAGACTGCGGATCATAAAATGTTTTGATTTTACTACCATTATTTTGCTCTCTTCCAACGAAAGCATTTTCACATCTAAAAACCATTATTATTTGATTTGCATCATTTCATCCCTAAAGTAATATGTTAAATTTACGACTACACTTTATGCTCATTTTCAGTCAGCTATTAGACGGGCAAAGGCGAATTGCAGCCGTAAAGCGCCTGCATCAGACATGATGGTCCTTTTTTCATACGCTTTGGTATGACCACATACTCTGAATCACCGTGCTGTTCTTTTTATTCGTAGGTGAAGTAGCTGCTACCCATTTCTCGGCTTGGTGCAGTGAAGCTCGGTGGGAGGAACTCATTGCTCAAAAGTATTAGCAGTTAGTAAGGTACATTTTCGTCTCGCGTTGAGTTTCAGTCCGGTACCACTGAGTACAAAGTACGAAGCAAATCTTTAAGCCACTGTGGAAATGTCTCTCCCTCTCGTATTAATATGTTAATGAATTGTTGCTACCTGCTGTTTATTGCAAACCAGAAGATACTATTTTATAACAACGAAGAGTTGTTTTAAAGGATGATCAGCGATTGACTGAAACGACGCTGGAAGAAAATCTTAGTTTGATGCGAAAAATCGTTAAAGAAGCGAACGTCGCAGTTTTACTTACTTCTGAGGTATGTTGTTTGTTGTGGTCATTTACATTATCAATACGTGACGTACGCTGCACTCTCAAACTTTGTATACCTTGGCTATAAGTCATTGGCTTTCAAATCATAGAAAGAAAAATCATCATCATAATCCAAGCTTGTGCTGTTTTTTGTTATCCGTGTTGGTGGTCTCTTCATCAGCGCTTGAAATGTTTTGCTTCGCATATCGGATGCTTATCATCTGGGATGAATAGTTTCTGCCCTTTCAGCAGTTTCATGTGATATGACCAGACCCCTTTCAATCTCTGCATTTACGAATGTGACATGTTTAGTAAAAAAGAGAGTCATTTCGTTTAGTGTTTAAAGTTTCGGTTTAACTGCTGCACGCTCTTCAGCCATAATTTTTTATTCATTAAACTTTGATTTTAAACTTTTTTGCAATACTCACCTCACGACTTCAAGATGCAAGGAAGGGTTTATTGAAACATCGGAGATTCTCCTGTTTGGCTGTAACTGTTGCTTTAACCGTCACTGGAAATGATAAAACTTCTGCACTTGAGCTGGCCAACCTCCTCTACTATTTCATTTTTCTGGTGCTCATGACATTTTATGTCGTAGAAAAGTTTTCAAAGCTTTAGCTTTTGTGCATTAACGAGGAGGTCTACTTCAACTGCACTGCTACTTATGGAAATCGGATTTTCGCACAACTTCGTATACTGTCGTATGTACCATCAAAATTGTTAATTATCTAGCCGTATATCATCCACCGTATCGCCCTCCTATGACAAGACCTCGTTTTTTGTGATATTCCAGTTAAAAAGTGGAGATTAGCCTCAGTCAGTAAGTTTCGATGACCTTTTATCCTGTCTGTTCGCGGAGACAGCAGCGCTGGACAGTGTCTCCAGCATTCCATATCCTGTACCAGCGTTTGGACTTTGGCAGAAGATAACTTAAGTCTGGAGCTGGGCCAGTCAAACCACTTGCTTGCTTTTCAGATCATTCATGGCCTTCTGCGGGGTCTTTTGGTCATTCATTTAAGCCAGTCATAGTTGTTTCGTCTTCCTTTCTGTAAGCCTGTGCACAGAACGTAATAAGAGTGTTAATCAAAGAATTTCAACAACAAAAATCTTCTCTGTTGGAATTTTACCGTTAATAGCAATGATCAGTTTGAATGCATTTTTTTCTTGATGAAAATGACGTTTTATGTGTTTCGAAACGTTTCCAAATTTGCTACATCCAAGATGCTTTTTGTTTAAAGTCTAAATATCATAGCAAAACGAAAAGCCTAGTGCTTTCTCGTTCCCCTGCCCGTTGCTCTCTTCAGATTAACGGAGAGGCAGTGG